GTGAGCCAATCTAAAATCGACTCGCCCAAATTGAATACGAAATTCCATTCGTATATGCCAGATATTTTCTCTCCTATTGATTGTTTTGGCGCTAGCTAACCCCGAAAAAAAAAAGAATAAAATAAAGAACGCTATCCGAAACAGGCAGCTGACGGGATTTTACACACGACTGTATGTCTGGCATTGTGGATGCACCCACACTCGGAACTCGAAATTCGAAATGGGGAGCTCCGCGACCAACCCGAAATATACTCTATATGTCCAGCTCTGTGGGTGGCAGCTGCCAAATGCCGCTAGCTGCGAAACAAAACAAAACAGGGGAAAAAAAAGTAATAGAACTTGGTACAAATGACAAGCTCAAATGGCTCAAATGTTTTTGTTTGCAATCATATTATATTTATGCACAGTTTGCATCTCGCTCTACGCTGTTTTAGCCAGCCTCCTGCCTCGCTCCAGCTCTAGTCTGATGAAATGTATTTGGATATATTTCTTTTTTTTTTCTCTCTCTCTCTCTCTCTGCTCACATGGAAAGTAAGTATGAAAAAAGAGTATATTGGCTTGGGGTAGTTGTATGCTAGCAGAAATTAAGCCGAAATGTGCTATGCATGAAAATATATAATACAGTCGATTCCCAATAATTCGAAATGGAAAATGGAAACTTTAATCATCGATTAATCGCAATTCTCGATTTAGCGGGGTGTAAATTATTGAGACTCGACTGTATATTTGAAGCGAATATTAAAATTCACATATATAGTTATTCAATTCTATGTGGTATTTACTTTTTGCGATTTAACTGGCAAAAAGTCTTGAAAGTTGCAATAGTTGAAGAATTTTGTAGAAACCTTAAAGAAAAATATTTAAAATTCTAAGAGCTGGTAAAACAGAAGAGCTGTTAAAAATAAATGAGATTGGGTTTTTACTTAAAACAAAGACAGTCGAAAAATATTTGAATCTTAGTTGATTCCCCAATAAAGTTAAAATAAGCCTATATATCCGTATTTCTTTGTCTTTTATTTGCTTCTATAACTGCATTTCAAGTCTTTGTTCAGCGTATTGCCCAGTCGGCTACTCTTAATTAGAATTCATTCTGTGTGTGTTTTTTTTTCGTGCCTCGCGTACTTTTGCATATGGAATTGATGCCCATTCTTCGCTTGCCTAATGCTCGTTTGGGTTAATCAAGGCTCGAGATTTTAAATTTTATTTATCATTTGGGGTTTATTTTTTTATTTTTATTTTTTTTGGGAATGCTTTTTGGCTGTTTGTAATTCCATTTCGCTTATTTGGTTTATTTATTTTGCTACCCAAATTGCATATTTTGCAACGGGACACTTTTGCTGTTGCTTAATACGTAATATATATATATATATATATATATATATATATAGAGAGAGAGAGAGGGGGCGAGAGTGAGTGAGTGTATATATCAACGATATGGACCGCCCCAGCCCTCCCGAGCCAAGCGCTTCAACTTTATTATTACATTTTTTTGCCATTTATTTCACATGTATTTATTTCGTTTTTGGGAACGAGGGTTTAAGAGCTTGTCAGCGTATGTGTGTTTCCCAGCTGTGTGTGTGTGTGTGTGTGTGTAACGCCCTTTATTCGGACAGTGCATTTTTAATATAATTTTTGCAGTTGCCCTGCCCGGCCTCGCCCCCCGCTGGCTTACGTTTGCCTCAGCTGCCGCGGCCACAATTTTTTTCAGATTTTTCGTTTTTTTTTTTTGTTCTTTGCTTTATTTTTATTTTGGTTGCTTTCTGCCCACTTGCCGCGCCCACCTCTGCCAAGCCCAAGCCTTGTTTGTAGTGGGCGTATGCGTATGTATGTATGTAGATAATTTTTTGTATATGCCATGTGTGGAGTCCTGGGGGTTGGTCGCCGCCCATTGGCAACTGTCCGGTTTGCAGGTGGCTGTGCTGCATATGCAAATGCTACACACAGATATGAAAAAAAAATGTATATCCATATACATATATATATTTAATTTTTTTTTTGTTTCGCTGCTGCATTGGGGCTGGGGCGGAGGAGTAGTCTAGCAGGCGTAATAAGCAGGCGTTGTCACGCGTACAGTTGAAATGTTGGAGTCTGAGTTTGGTTCCGCAACAAACAGGAAAAATACTTTCTGCCATATAAGCAAAAAGTATTTTTAATGAATTTTTATGCAGGGCGGTGTATTGTTTTTTAGTGTTTTTTAATTAATTAAAAAAATATATATGCGTGTACATATATACATATTTATATATTTATAATTGCATAATATTTTAATTGAAATGAAGGTGGGGAAATGGGTAAAAGCGTAGAGCGACTGGATAATGCGAACAGTGTTGCTAAGGTCGTTTAATCAGGTGCGGATTTCAAGTGTTGCTCTCACTTTGATCACGAGATAAACCGAAAATGATTTTGGAATAATTAATTTAATGCTGCTACACAGCATTATGATGCAACATCTAACGGTAGATTAATCGTAAAATCAGAAATCAAGAATAAAATATTGTAAAAAGAATTTAATGAGCAGAAAAAGTATTTTATAATGATGGTTATATATGTGTAGAGCTTACTATTTCAATAGATAATTTCCATACAATTGTCGTAATTTTCAATGATAACATACTTTAAGAAGCACATAGCTTTAATTCATAGCTTATCAGACATATAAGATCGATTATGTTCTGTCCGTCTCTCAGCTGGGTCGCACCACAAAGTAGGGCTGCTCCTTTGTGGGACAGAAGAACCTTTCGAAAGGCTCTGGCAGGTTGCTTGGACGTGGCTTCTGCTCATCCGGCAGGAACATGCCCTTCCACAGCAAACTCGTAACACTTGCGTGTGCACGCTGACTAAAGTGGAAGCAGTCGTGTGAGAAATAGCGCAAATCCGCATTGCCATTCGGCTGCTCGGGCGGCGAGAGATTCGTTATCATGGGATGGCCAATGATAGCAAAGTCCTCGCGCTGAAACTCCGGCAATCGTGCCACCTGCAGATCCACCTGTTGCCAGCGCTGAATCATGTAGTGCCGCTGCTTCGCCTCGGATGCTGTCAGACGATCGTTTATCAGGCAATTGCAACATATGCGTTGCATCAAAAAGCATTGCAGGGGCACATCTTTCAGCCCACCCATCATAGTCAAAATATTGCGCACTGCCACCAAGTTGATCAAAAGTCGAGGCACGTTATCGCGTAGCAGGCGAAAAGCTTCACGAAGATCTCGAGCGTGTCGATCGAGCACTTCTTCCTGATCGTCCCAGTGACACATGTCGGAGCAGATATCATTGTTGCCCACGAACACGGTGATCAGCTTCCAATGCCGTTTCATATCCACGTGTGGATCGCGTCGCATCAGATCGACGAGCACACGTACCTGATACAGCAGATCGTGCGACATTAGCATTGGCTCGGCGATGTTGAGGTGCGAAGTCTCGTGATTTACGACCAGACTGTGACCCGTGGCATAGCCATAAAGATTCGGATTGAAGACCTTTAGTATGTTGGGCAGAGTTAAGACTGTGCGCCACGTGCCCAAGCCCCCGCCAGAAAAGCTAAAGCCCCGAAACTCGTCAAACATGTCGAGCACACTGCTCGACATAATGGCATTGCCAGCCGAAATGGAGTCTCCAAGAGCAGCCACGATGTCTATATCGCCAGGTCGCAGACGTTCCACAGAGGTGGGTGGAGTGCGGGATCGTGTATGATTCAGCGAGCAGGGAAATGGAACATGACTGGCAACCGGTACTTGCAGTTTGCCCTGATGCCTGTTGAGCCTGTAGAGAGTCTCATTTTGATTTAGAGCCAAGTTTAGCGCGGTTTCACGATATATGAGAAACATATGACGCAGATACCGATCAAAGTCTGTATAGACTGGCACACCATTTCTAATCGGTCCCAGTGGATTAACGGAATCAACCCGTAGTCCAATATTGTCCAGCAGCTGTTGCGAGCGATTCTGCGCTCGAATACGTGGGACTTGAGAAGGCAACGAGGCGGTGTGAGTGGCAATGAAAAGTATCACAAAGAGCACAGTCCATTTATCTGGCATTGTGACTCTGTGGAACGTATGCTTGCACATATAAATCACTCTCGCATGAAACACATTTTCGTGTGTGGACTCTAAGTTAGACGTAGAACTTGGAGAGTTTTATATAAATTTATAAGAAAATATTATATAGTCTAGTTCACAACACGCACTATGGATCGCATGTGGATGCTATGTATGCCAAAAGATTGTTGAATGTCTTATTTCTTTTCAATGCAAATGCACTTTTATGAGTGTGCTGATTCTAAGTGTTTTGTTGGTTTTTCGCTTTAGACCTATTTTGGCAAATATCAAATTACTTCGTTGATATAACTTGACAAAATCAGTCACTTTTGTGATTTTTTACTCGGTTTTTCACTTATTAACTTCTCTGCATAGACTGAGCTATACTTTTCAAGTGATTTCTAGTAAAAGTCTCATTGTAGTTCCACAATATAGTAGTTCACATGACGACTTCTCGTTACATACTCATCCAAAACGCAAATGTGTCGAGTGTTTATATATGAATTTTAATATTTCCCTACATATATTATTACTGCCAAGTTAATTTTGAACCCGCCCTTGTTATAATATAATATTATGTTTATCATAACTTTTTTAAATTCTGTCTAATTATATATTGTTTGGATTGTTTATGTAATTTATTCTTTAAAACTTAACACCTAAGCTTGCATACATCCGATATCTACGACACGGCAACAGCATTTACTTATTTATTTATTACCCTTTCACCTAATGGCTGTGCATGATTTCAGTTCAAAGCTTAGTTCAACAAATCTGTGAACATTAAGCAATGTCAATAGCTAATTGTTTAAACAGATATATTTGTCAAAGGAACTTAAGTTTAGAGTTTATTGCAATAAGCTGCATGCTTAATATCAAATTTCTATTGATTGAATTCAGAATATGACCCACAATGATATATTATTATTATTATTTTTAATTTATTAATTGTATTAGTTATAATTTTATTTATTGTGTTAAAATAATAATATAATTATATAATTAATCCTCTAAAATTCTAAAATTTATAATGGTATGTTTTTATAAGTAATTGTAATGACTATTACTATAAATAAATAACTTTAATAGCTAATTAAAACAAGCAGGGGCTGATGAGGAAACGACCTGAGCCCGATCCGCTCTTTCTAACATATAAGCTGCACACGAAAACGAGTGTAGAGCACTCTAGACGGACTACACGACTAGAATATACCCTGAATAAATATGAATATTAAATATGAACATGTCAGAAATTCCGAATATAAAACTTATTCAGGTTTGAGAGAACAAAGTTGTTTCTAATCAAGCTTGGCTGTTATAAATATTTTAATATGAGCTTTATGCTCCGAATGATTCAGAAGATATTAGCAAACATTTAACAACAATTTTTCTTTTAATTTTCTGTTTTGAAACTAGTTTTTCAGTCAGTTCTATGAAAGCGGTTTCCCTACTATTTACGACTATTAATCATACCAATATATACAAAATATAATATCAATCTCGTTATTATCGATGCTCAGCACTCTCAGCTGGGTCGCACCACAAAGTAGGGCTGCTCCCTGCTGGGGCAGAAGAAACTTTCAAAGGGCTGGGACAGTATGTCGGCTCGTGGCTTCTGCTCATCCGGCAGGAACATGCCCTTCCACAGCAAACTTGCTGCGCTAGCGTGTGCACGCTGGCTAAAGTGGAAACAGTCGTGGGAGAAGTCGCGCCAGTCCGTTTTACCATTTGGGAGCTTGGGCACGGATAGATTCGTCACCATGGGGTGGCCAATGATAGCGAAGTCTTCGCGCTGAAACTCCGGCAATCGTGCCACCTGCAGATCCACCTGTTGCCAGCGGTGAATCATGTAGTGCCGCTGTTTCGCCTCGGATGCGGTCAGCCGATCGCTTAGCAGGCAATTGCAGCCGATGCGATGCACCAGAAAGCATTCGAAGGGAACATCCTTTATCGGACCCATCGTGGCTAAGATATTGGGCACTGCCACCAAATTGATCAAAAGTCGAGGCACATTATCGCGTAAGAGTCGAAAAGCTTCACGAAGATCTCGAGCGTGTCGATCAATCAATTTCTCTTGATCGTCCCAGTGACACATGTCGGAGCAGAGATCATTGTTGCCCACAAAAATAGTGAGCAGTTTCCAGTGCCGTTTCATATCCACTTGTGGATCGCGTTGCATCAGATCGATGAGCACACGTGCCTGATACATCAGATCATGTGACATGATCATAGGTTCGGCAATGTTGAGGTGAGACGTCTCGTGATTTATGACCAGACTGTGACCCGTGGCATAGCCATATAGATTCGGATTGAAGACCTTTAGTATGTTGGGCAGAGTTAAGACTGTACGCCAGGTGCCCACACCTCCGCCGGAAAAGGAAAACCCGCGAAACTCATTGATCAGATCTAAGGTATTGCTGGATACAATGCCATTGCCAGCGGATAAGGAATCTCCAATGGAAGCCACTATGTCTATATCGCCAGGTCGCAGACGTTCCACAGAGGTGGGTGGAGTGCGGGATCTTGTATTGTTGAGCGAGCAGGGAAATGGAACGCGACTCGGAATCGGAGCTTGCATCTTGCCCTCACGCCTGCTAATCCCGTAGAGTTCGTTGATTCTATTCAGCCCCGCGTTCAACATGCTTCCACGAAGCATGAGAAACCATTGGCGAAAATTCCGATCGATATCCGTGTACTGTGGCACACCATTTGTGACCGGTTGTAGTGGATTGAACTGCTTGGAATGCACTCCAATGCTGTCCAGCAGCTGGTGGGAGCGATTCTGCAGGCGACGCCGTAGTATATAAGGGTTAGAGTGCGACACGGTGCAAAGTACCACAACGAGTAGAATTGTAATAGTTCGAGTATTAGGCATTTTGGCTCTTATTTGCATGCTGTGGGATGTGATGCAATCTGGAAGGATTAATTATTTTTAGCACGTTCACTTGTGTGGATCGTATGTTAATTAAGCAGAGAATGTAAAATATTGTTTCTTTTCACAACACAAAAGTAGCAATATATTAGACCACATTAGCATAGTGTGGATTGTATGTGGAACGTAAGTTCTTGAACCTTGTTATTTATTAAGCACATCTATCACATGTGTACCGCAAATTTCACTCAAGCGTATGTGGATGCTATGTGGATTTAGTTGTCTATTAAGTAACGGAAGTTTTTGACATAAATCAAATCACTTTTGTAATAAACGTCTCATAAGAGCGCCTGTATGCCTTTGTGGAACTTAAGTTTTATGGTAATCAACACTGTAACGCGTGTGGACTGTATGTGGAACGAATTCTTTTCCACTTCCCCATAGACTGAACGATACTTTTGAAGTCCTTTTTCGTTCGGAGACGCTCGGATCAGACACGCACGCACAACAACATCTCGACACGTTCTCACACGGAACGCAAATGCGTCAAGCGCTTAAATGTTGCTATAAATGGAATCTCGAACAATATAAACACTGCTGATTTAGCTCTCTGTTTGAGCGCTCGTCGAGCACTTGAGCACTCAGTTCCTTCCATTAAAAGCAGCAACAACACAAGCCGGCATAGTTCAGAGCTGCCACTACAGAACTTGACTCGAATGCGTTGACCGAGACATTAGCTACTATTAAAATGACAACAACAACAGCAACAACAGCGAATGGGATAGACAAATTGTGCCACTCGGCCTGGGCTCGACTCACAAGTGCGTTGGGTTCAAAGATATTGTCGAAAATCGTATTAAAATCAACCAAAAAAAAAAAAAAAAAAAAAAAAAAAAAAAAA